GTTCCCCAAATCATCAATGAGACACAGGCAAAAACCTAAGGGGCTAGAAAAGAATGCTTTATTACCATAGCAGGAATTCTGTGGGTGGTATTGGCAGGAGACCAATTCTATCTACCCTGAATAGAATGCTGCAAAATCACCCCAAATCTGACAATGGGCCTCAAATAAAAACAGTTGCTGCATCTTAAACACAAAAGATAAATCAAGTTGATCTTATAGACATGACCAAATATGGAAAAAAAAAAAAAAATGGATACAAATACATTTTGCAAATAGTTGATGTTCTTAGTAAATTTGTCAAATGGGCTGCATTGAAGGACAAATCAGCAGAAGCCGTAGCTGATTCTCCATGCAACCACTTTTCTGTGGTGGGACCTCCATTTGTACTGTAAGGGATAACGGGGGGAAAGTTAAAGGGGGGCCACCCAAATACTCGTGCAGATATGGGTGTCACCATCATTAATGGCAGACCATTTCATCCTCTGTTCCAAGGAAAGGCAAGTGTAAACTCATGTAATGTTAACCCTTGATCACAAACTGATGCCATGCTAAATGCATACCATCTCATTTAATTGGACTGAACATTCATACAACCTAGGGACCATTCCCAGACCCAATCATGCTAACTGTGGATGGATCTATCTCCAAGGGGATTCTCACTATATTGCAATCAATTTAAGCGGCTTAGATGTCTGCCATGCCTACTGAAGCAACTTAAGCAGCTTTAGTAGGTGTCTCAGACATTAAAGTTGCTTACGCTGAAAGCGAGAAACCCCTTGGAGATGGATCGATCCTGTAAGATCCATCTAGGTATGGGAGCCCCATCATAAACTCTACATTTGCCCCTGACTCTAACTACATTCTAAATTAAATGACAAATAAAAAACAAAACAAAACTAATATGTATTTACATATATTCTTATTCAATAACGACTTGAATGTCAACAACAACTGACTGTTAAGAACACCAAAGAAACAAATAAATAAATAAAAAAATAAATGAAGCACTTAGTAAAATAACCAATCAAATTAGTTTTTTTACTGAAAAATCACCCAGGGAAGGCTTTCACTAGTTTAACTTCATTACTAATACATCATTTATTCCACATATTTATCCCTTAACTGAATTCATTTGTTCACAATAAAATAGGAGTGATCCCGCACTCTTTCTTAACAACACTTAAATCTAATTAGATCACTTAGCACTATGGACATCATCGTGTCTACACACGGTCTAAACAGCCCAAATAAGACTATACATAAACAGTTGTGCAGAATATTTCAGGTCATGTGATAAGAGGTTTTTGTGTGAAATAATAAACTGTCCACCGCGAGTTCTATGCCACACCACCTCTAGCACCTATGGGAAGTATTCATGGCATATATCAGAGGAGGGTGGCAGTGTATTATTTGACATACATATCAAAATAATCTTCTCACATTTCACAGAAAACCATCCCTATATATAAACAAATAAAGCGCATATTTCTATGGTCACATAACATCTCCAGTACGTATCCTATATAACAGATATGACATGTGCCAGCTTCTTCAATTTCAAACCTCCATATCAACAGGAAGTGGGTAAATGTGGAAGTTTTCATTATTATTATTTTTTTTTTCAAAGCTCAACATCAGTGATACATGGAAATTTGAAACCGAAAAAGCTTGGCCTTATTGGATCTGAAACTCTATTGGAGGTATATTTTTCCACTGAAAATTGCCCTTGGAACAATAATGTACGGCCAGACAAAACTGATGCATTGGTTCAGGATCGTGAACGCCACTACCTTTCTTTTTTTTTTTTTTTAAATTAATTTTTTCGGTACTGGTTGGGTAAGAAATCAAATTTTACCACTGACCCAAGATTTAAAATTTATGGTTTAAAATTGCCTTTACTGTGAATTTGACAATCTTTACCCCAACCCCCAAAAATAAATAAATAAATAAAATAAATAAATAAAAACCTGTTTACAAAGAGTTCTAACTTGTTTACCAATTTATCAATTTTGTCAGACCTTATTGTTGTCATACACATGCTTTATGGCAAAACAATCAACAATGGTCAATAATTTTGCTCCATGATATAAGAAATGTTCCCATGATTTTAACTGGTGTAAACTATAAACCTCACATTCATGGCACTTTCACTACATGCAACTGGATAATGCAAATAATATCATTTTGAAAAATATTCAAGTTTCTGAATACCAATTGCATGTGCATAAATTGTTAGTATCAAACTGACAAATCCACTAAGACATTGTAGTCATGTGACAGACAATAAAAATAACTAAAAATTTATACTTGTATAATTCTATTAATGATGAATCCTATAATTTGAAAATATTTTTTGCTTCTGATTAGCGTTCACATGTATTTGTCACATGGTAAAAATGGACTAGGCAACGCTCACTTAGACACCAAACCCAAGTTTATTACAATTATGATTTTTAAATATTTATAAATTTAATTTATCTATAAAAAATCCTACCACTGGCTGGGTCTTTCCAATATTGCAAACATCCCTCAAATTGTAGGCCTTCAGCTGGAAATTGATTTCTGGCAGTAATCTTGACTCAGCTGTGAAAAGACACTTGCTCCTTGTGGTTCCCAGGTCACATGACATAATGGTTTTCTCCTATTGGCTGTCGTATGTCACATGACAAAATTATTTCCGCCTATTGGTTGCCAGATGTCACCTTCTTTGGTTATCTAATATAACATGACTAGTGACAATGTACAATATGCTTATGACTCGGAGAAAAATTCCTATTGGCTGACAAATGTCACATGACTTAGGAAAGCTCTCCTATTGGTGCATTGTCCAACCACAAATCATGCATGAAGTTGTAAAGTTGATCTGACACAGATACCTAAAGAAAAAAAATGTTAAAGCTTCAGAACTGACATCAACTTGGAATCAATGCCTAAAATGAACAAAGCTGAAAGATTCTTATAAGGTCTTCATCACAGGTTTTCAATTATTTACTATCTCCATAAAATATACTGCTCATTTTTGGGAAAAAAGCCTTCAGTGTCCCATTTAGTAAAACTACTGCATCATCAAAAGTAGTCGTCGGCTTTTTAGCATCATGATATCTTGCTGGTCATGAATTGTATTTTAGCATATAAAAGTTGGCTCTAAATCTTGTGTTGAACAAGTTATCTGGTCATAAAACAACTTAAAGCACAGTACATCAATCCCGTAGTCAATCCCGTTTCAGGTGCATTCAGCGCTTGTTGCAAGACAGTTTGGAAATAATTGTTTTTCTTACCTTATATGGGGTGGGATTCAATGCCCTTTTATGGTCCGGTCTTAGTTTATTCAATGACGCCAAGGCTCTCTCTTTTATTTCTTTCATTTTGGGTAATGGCTGTTGCACCTGTGTAATAAATAAATAAATAAAAAGTAAAAGCTTAAAATACTGTTACAATACCTTAAAAGAAATACTGAAAAAAGAACGCATAAATTTTATCTTCCGACAACAAAGCTAATTTTGATTTAAACAAACAGTTTTCTGTGGACCAACAGCCAGAAAGAAACAAAATCCTGAAATCTAAGTCTAGCCAAACTCATTAACAAGTTTCTATTTCAACACAAAGGAACAAACCTGTCCATCTTTCCAATATAATTTGTGCAGACATTCCACATAGGCAGGTATAACATAGGCTCTTTTGGACTCTACAAAAGGGTGTCTGCAAAGGACTCTCTCCTTGACCTTGGGCGGCTCCTCCTCTGACTGGGTCATTAAGTCTAGCAGAGCATTACCTGAAAGTGAAAGTGAAAGTGTGGATTTCATTATTTTCTTTCTTTCATTCTTTTTTTAAAGTCTTGATTGATCACAACATGTACATACAAAAAAGGGAGGGTGGTTGGGCGTTTTGCTTCTTTACATGTGTGCTGGACTCCAAGTGCATTGGCCAATTAAAATTTATCAATTTAAATCGTGTTTACTTGTTAGCATGAGCTGGAAGGCAACACTTTGAAAATTCTCTTTTTTAAATATCAGGCTAAATAATTGTCATTCTTTCAAAACTCTGAAATACAGGTTATTTCTCCTTATGATGTGAAAATGGCATAAATTAGGCTATCGAAGTGAATTGGTTTAGAAAAGAATGCTTAGAAATTGGGAAACCCTTCTCTACCAAATGCCTTCTGAACACCACTTACCATCACTTCCAAATAATCTGTATGCGACCTTTTTTCCTGGTGTCGTCACCTTCTCCACGTCTTGACTTAGTTTTATCCTTGCAAGGCCGTTTATCTCTACAAGCTGGAGAGAGAAATGCTCATCAATTTTTTAAGATTTATGTTGTGTCTTTGGTTACATTAACAGACCATGGATGGAACGAGATAAATGACCATTGCTCAAACTAGCACTTAAAATTTTATCCAATTTTTCAAAATTATTGATTAACTTTTATGTCAAAATTGTTAATGAACTGCAACAAAAGGAAATTGGACAATATTATTATTTTTTTGACAGATGATCAAGACATATCATAAATTTTAAAAACAGAATAATGGGGTCTTTACTTCTATCACAAAGTTTATATTCATAGCCCTATGCTGTATTTGCATCCATCACGTACCTTATACACACAGCCCAAAGCTGGCTGTTTCTTACAAGTAACTAAATGTGTTCCTATCCCATACGCATCTATGGAGTGACCCTGAAAATACATAGAATAAAATATTTTACTTCTGAGGCGAAAGAGGACCTTTTATAATACCATCTGGAAAATTAAAGCCATAAAGGTATGGAGCAATGGGGGATCCATGGGAATAAAAACACCCAGATAAATCCTCTCTATAACTTGTTCAATGACACAGGCCAATACAAATTTCTGGGTGTGAGAGACATGTGTGCCATGTGTATCGATTTTTGTATAAGTGTCATCTGACAGTGTGTAGTTCTGTGACGTGTGTCAGAAGTGACAATAGTTGCATGGAGTGTCAACTTTGACAGCTGTTGCATCAGGAATGTTAAATTTAGTGTCCAATGTTGTACTGCTTTCTTGTCATGTGACATGTGACAAATGACAAGCCTTTGTGTCACACATATCTTTTTTTTATGTCAATTACGTCAGTTGATCTGTCAGGTGACATGTGACAAAGTACCTACCTGTTGATTTAGTGAGTGAATGGTGTCCTCATCGATGTCATTGCTGGCAACTATCGTCAACTTGCCAAACCAGTCCAAGTTGAACCTGAGGAGAAAAAATGTCACAAATTATGTCAGCTGAAGCAGAAACAAATTTAAAAAGCATGTCAACTCACAGGCAAGGACTTAATGAGAATTTACACTCAGGTTGGGGCAGCTTAGCTATGTACCACATTTGGGCAGTAACATGTTGATTGTGGCCTTATACATTGGGAATGTCAACTTACATCTCAAGATTTTAAAGAGTATTCAAATACTGACTGGGACTGCTAGACTTATTACTTTATAATAATACTATGCAATAGTCAGCATTATTAGTTTTCTAGCATTTGGCAAAGGGCTAGTGTTAACACCACTTTGTGTGTTACTATATGTGCTACTATAAGAATTGTAAAAATACTCACTTTTCTGCCACCTTCTTAAATCTCTCCCTCAGTAGCAGGGACAAGTAGGCCAGGTCGCCACTGTCCAGTCTGACCCCCACTGGACGATAACCAAGGTCATGGAGGGCTAGACAGACTGCACAGAAGTTATGGACGCCAGATCTGAAGATGGGAAAATAATTACATCATTTATCTCATGCTTTCTTTTGTGATAGTGGTAAATACCTACATTCAGTGGGCACTACTTCAAAACAAAACACTGGGTATCGATTTTGTAATTAATTTACATAACAATAAAGGCAATAGAAACAGCAACTACTGTATTTTATCTCATCCTTTTGGTATGACTGGACTATGTAATCAAAGGCCAAATATATGTTTCTTTGTTCAAAATTCACAAAGCTATAATTTTTTTCTTTTAAGTGCAGGTGGTCCTCAAGTTTGGTTCTTTACTTTTTGTTTCTTTTCAACTTTCACATTTTCGAAGGCATAAAATCTCTAACCTTGAAATCCTCAATAATCATAACATCTTCATTTTTTTATATTTCTAAATTCCTCCTACCCTTTTACATAAAAATCTCTAACTTAAAAATAAAACTAAGAGCACAATTTCTTCTTCATCTCAAAAACAGAAAATAGGAAAAAAAAAATCTCAGGACACTAGGGCCACCATCTTACTTCATGACATCATAGGTATCCAGGAGGGCCAGGAAGCCAGTGGGGAAGGCGCGGGCGTAGGACACAAAGGCAGCCAACTCACCCATGTGAACCTGGTCTATGGGGAAACCTGGGGAAAAATGGAAGGTGAAAATGAGGGTATTACTAATATATAGGCCAACTTCATGTACAGTTTTCCCCATTTCATGCCAGTTTGTGTCAAATTAAAAGCCTGGCTATTATGTAAACATATCCCACATGCTCAACACACCCAGTTAAATGTATAAACTTTGAGTGGAACATAAGGGTTTGTAGCCCCCCCCCCCCCCCCCCCAACACACACACACCATGTAACATTTTATATGTAACGACTGGTAAAATTGTTGAGAGACATAATACTGTACTACTTGTAGTGAAAAAAAAGCCACACAGCCACTGTATTTTCAGGCCTACCCAACTACCAGTCTCGGCACCGAATGATCCTGAATTCACCAGTAGATCAGACCACACTACCCATTTTCAAGGTGTTTGTCAGATCGCATTACACAGTATCAGACGCGACACCGCTCTTGCCTAGTACGCGATGTGATAGTAATGATTCTCAGCGGGGTTGAAAAGCATTGCATCACCACTCAAAATTTGTTCAGGGTATGATACTGTGTAATGCGATCTGACACACACCTTGAAAATGGGTAGTGTGGTCTGATCTACCGGTGAATTCAGGATCATTCGGTGCCGAGTCTGGTAGTTGGGTAGGCCTGGTTTTGAATGAAAGTGCATGGCATGGGGTTGGAGAGGAAAAGAATTGTCCTTCTTTACCCACAAGAGGGAGGTTTTTAGCATCACATCTTCTAAATCAAAATAATAGGTAACACACAGTGTTTGCCTCTTAGGAAAATTAGTTGCTGGACCGAAAGTTCAGCCATCTTGAAAAGTAGCTGGCTTGAATGTCTGCCGGGTGGGAAATCTTCTCAGCCCGTTTTGAAAGTTGTCAGCCCCGGGCAGACGGTCCAGCCTTAATTTCTAATACGGGTAACACACCATTAGTACTCACCTAATACTTTGGATAGCTCCTCCAATTTCTGCTCACACAGACTGACGAAATCTACCGTTTTTGAGCCATCCTTTGCTGTCATAGTCTAAAAAAATATTTCATGGATAGGAGAAAATCAAGCACATAATACAATTATAACAAATACATTATCTTCCCTTAAAAATCTGACAAAGCATTTATTCGTATTTCACTTGATCTACAATTAGAGCATCTTATTTTATTTACTTACTGTTTCTCTCTTAAATTTTTCTGAAACTGGTTAAATCAGTTAAAGGGATAATTACTCTTCGTTTTGGCCAAAAAATGAGTTTTTGGAGTAAACAACAATTTTCACGTACTAACCAATGGTTAGTGAATCCATTTTTACATTCAAAGTTAGTCCCTGGTTTTTTTTCTAAAAAGGTTGTTTTTTTGTAATAATCTCTTAAGATATTATAACAGAGTATAGCCATCAATGGAGGTCAGGTGATCTGAAGACAAGCTCCGATAGCAGAATAATAGCTATAACTGCCGTTTTTGTTGTACAACAGAATATATTATATTTTTATGAGTTGTTCACAATGTTTTTATTGTGAAATATAGATCTCATACGAAGAGTTATTATCCCTTAAAGTATTTAAAGCACACTAAGGTGGCAAGGCACTTCAAATCCTGTCAAATATTCCGCATGTGCCTCAAATGAGCCGGAATGCAACATGAAAGTATCTCGATTGTTGCCAACATACTATTTAGGCCAGCAATTTAACCTCACTTGTACAGCATTCGAAGAGCATTCTGAACATTCTGTCCACATTCTGACAGCATTATTGATATAATTTCTAGTGTTTTCCAACTACACTCAGGCAGCAGGCTGCATTTGGGAGCTAAGACACCCGAGATGTGCATGAATCATTTCAGGCGGGTACGTTCCATGCACATTCTAAGTATTCCAACGGCATTTTTACAAGAATTCTATTGAATGTGGCGCAAAGTTTGAAAATTCTTCATTTCGGCTCATTATGCTTGATTACTGCTGATTCTGAATAAATGTGATGGGGGCTTAAGGTTTTGTTATCAAATAGTTTTTTTCTTATTTATAATGCCAAATAACAATACAGTTAATATGTTTTAATCAAACATTCAATACTTATGTTGAGAGAGAGAGAGAGAGAGAGAGAATATAAGATTATTGGTCAATGAGAGCATTCACTACAGCAGACTAAGACCCCATTCCCAGAGATTAGATCGATCCAACTTGCTCGACCTAACTCCCTGGGGGTTCACGCTAAATAGCTGTCAGCCGAGCGGGCACCATAGTTAATTACCCCCTTACAGCTTGTAGTAGGCGGGACGGACATTTAAGCCGGATTATCCGACAGCAATCTAGTGAGACTCCCCACGGGGATAGATCGATCTAAAATCTATGGGAATGCACCCTAAAGGCGCATTCAGACAAGATTATTCGAGTACTAACTGATCCGCCAACTAAATATGGCCGACCCCACTTCAAAAGCAATGCCGCTAATTTCATGATGGCCTCCCCACCTGCACGTGTGCCGTTACTGCAGGGGCCCAGCATTTATACCTTGGAACCGAGAATTAAAGGGATAATAACTCTTCGTATGAGATCTATATTTCACAATAAAAACATTGTGAATAACTCATAGAAATATAATATATTCTGTTTTACCACAAAAACGGCAGTTATAGCTAATTTTTCTGATGTCTGATCTTGTCTTCAGACCACGTGACCTCCATTGATGGCTATACTCTGTTAAAACCTCTTAAGAGATTTTAACCAAAAAACAAACTTTTTGGAAAAAAACCAGGCACTAACTTTGAATGTAAAAATGGATTCATTAACCATTGGTTAGTATGGGAAAATTGTTGTTTACTCCAGGAAAATTCATTTTTTGACCGAAATGAAGAGTTGTTATCACTTTAATCCATTTAATGACACATGTAGAGGTGAAGAGACCAGCAGGAATCAGCAGCATGGCTTTGGAAGTGGGATTAGCAATTTTTAATTTGCTGATATGCTAGTCAGAGTATCATCTAATTCTGACGGTGCTCTAACAGATCTGCAGATCCAATATGGCTGACCCGTTTGATTGCTAGTTGCGTAATTCTCGTGGGGAATGTATTGAGTGTCTAATCGAAGATTAAGTGCGTATTTGATCTGCAGATCTGTTCCTTAGCTGTTCTGAAGGCGTTTAATGTTTTCCTTCAATGGTCGAGGCCACAATTCTAGAGATTTAAGTTTCAAGCAGTTTTTTTTTTTGTAAATAGATAATAAATCTAGGATGAACCTTACTATCATTGGGATCATGTTTTACAGATTATATGGAAAAAATTCTTGCAGGTTTGAAACATTAACATCTGCCACAGAAGCTAGGAGAGTGCCTCAGAGACAATGGTTTAAAAGATGTCAGCAAACATATCTGACACCCAATTGTTCTTAACACCTTTGTCAATAGCTAAACCAAACCTGGTGAGTTAACTTGCAATTTATATTTTATTTTATTGATGTGTTGATTAGCACAGACCCATATAATATACCAGATAAAATGCACACTGATAAATGAATATGGAAAAAAAGAACTCAAATAAGGTTTTCTGGTACCTCTCAGGATAATTATAGAACTATAAAAACTACGGGTGTGCTGAAATGCTCTCTAAATGAATTAAATGGATAGTAAAAGCTTAATGCTGAACAGAACAAGACAGCAAAGCTGTCAAATGTACAGACAAAAAGCAGAAAATAACAATGCACAAATAAGCTACTGTCAATTCTGATACAAAAGTACATTATGCTTAACTGCAAATTCAACATCAAATTTTAATTATGCAGGTAATACCAATGTAAGTAAAATGTGTAACAAGCATAAGGCTTCAGGCCCATGGGAGTTCAAGTTCACACTTTGAAAATGCCAGAATGAGAAAAATGAAAATTTCACACNAACATCAAATTTTAATTATGCAGGTAATACCAATGTAAGTAAAATGTGTAACAAGCATAAGGCTTCAGGCCCATGGGAGTTCAAGTTCACACTTTGAAAATGCCAGAATGAGAAAAATGAAAATTTCACACAAATTGCATAAATTCAATAATAAATGATAACCCAATTGAGCTGGCTTTTTTATTTTGAACTACATGCCAATCCTTAAAATCATACTTGTAAGTTAAAAATAATAATACGTCACACCTTGAAAATGCCGAAATGTAAATAAGACAGCACTGTTCTGAAATTTTTCTTTTTTCATTTTTAACAATTTATTAACATAAAACAAAATTAACAGTTTACCGCTATTTTTATATGATCAACTAAGAAAATTGATGAGATGGGAAAAATATTAATAGAACAGTGTTAAATGTCCAATTTCCTCCATTCTGAGATACTGAACACAGTGAATGATTGAATCTGACAAACTGCAATGATATGAGTTTATTTCCATTATTGAAGCTTGATTACACAATACACGATAATAAACTTACCATCATTTTTACATAATCAACTAACAATGTTGTAAAGATGCAGGAAATGTCAAACAAACACTTTTACGTATCTTATTAGTTAAATAATGAGACTGTTAACATGCCTTAGAATTAAATCTCAGGAAATATGAAAAAACAGCAGAACTTCTAAAATAATGGCCGATTATGCTGATTTTCCAACTCAACTTGCGTTTTAGTAAGATTGACCACTACTGTGAGTTTAATGACAATTGGCCTGTCTGTTTTTCTTATATTGTGTTTACAGTGTTGCATATATGCTGAAAAGTGAAAAAACAGCATAACTTCTACAATAATGGCCCAATCATGCTGATTTTCTAACTTGACCTGCATTTTATGAATATTCATCAGCTCTGTAAATATAAAGCCAAAAAGTAAAACTGTCTTCCACTTATCGTGTTAATGCTGAAAGTGCACGGCGACAGACGCAGGTGATGGCAATATGTACAGACACATCTGTATCTGTACATAAAATAGTTCTAAAATCTGGCAAGGTAAATTGCGATTAATAAGGAGAAATATATGCAAATGAACATGGTCGTGATTGGATGGTTTCTCCATTAAGAGGGACACTGCGACACTGAAACAGCATTGAGTGAAACAGCCTTGCTACTGGGAGGTCTCACTGCCTGATTAGGCGAGGTAAGTTTTATCACGTAAGTTTTTTATTTATTGAGTGGAAAGTAATTGCTCCCCTTGGAAAAAAATACAAGACTGGATCCACTTAAAGACCGGACAAATAATACAATTAACAGCATCTGATATGATCCTAGGAGTTCCAAATTTGAAGTGCAATGCCCTTAACAGTTTGCTGATTATAACAAAATTTATTATATATATAAGTTTAAAATGAAAAACATAACCCCGCATATAGAAAATATTAAAATAGAATGGAGACAGGCCTACATCGCAGAGAGAAACATAAGTCTGAGAAACATGACAATAGATAAATTTAATGAAAAATGGAAAAAGCTGCAGCCTCTCTTCCTGGACTGATATCTTCTATCTGTGTATGTTCCCCTGCTGATATTTGATAATAAAACACATATTAGTTTTTATCTGAATTAGATCATAAAGCTTTGTATTATTTCTTAAGTGTTATCAAGTCTTTTACTATTAAGTTATCAACATATCGTTGTTGACACATATTGTAAATGTTACAGTACCTATATATATAATCCAATTCTGGGCTTTTGGCAACTAATTTCAAGTTGGGGTTCTTAATTTGTGGTTGGAGTGAATCATTTGTGCATTTGTTCAGTCAGTTGTAACGCTTTCAATTTTATCTATTGCTTCCAAATGAGGAAGACGCAATGAAAAAATCCAAGAAATTCATGTCCATTGCGCTAAAACAATTACATAACTCGAAACTGGGTATGCTGGGCTAGTTCAAATTCGACAATTCATTAATTTTGTTTTTGAACTTGGACCATATATTCATAAAAGAGAAGTCCATGGTATAAACATAAGTAGTTTATGTAAGCATTTTGATATAAAAGCCACTACAAGTATATACTTCAGATGTCTTGATTTTTAAGTGATATACACCTTTACACCTACAGTACTAATATATAATAGACAGAAACATTAACTATATCGTTCATCAAATAAATGATCATCACATTTACATAGGCAAAGAATTGTATGCTCATATGGCTGAATATCTCTAAGCAGATGATTCCTGTCATTCAACACATGAAATAAATCATTCTGGTAACGTTATAAATTCTTTGCTTTCCTGCAAGTACGGCAATTGCCTATCTTGATGAATAGGTGATAGCTTTCAATTCCTCGTGATTGGTGATTGACCTAAATATATCTTCATGATTGGTGATTGACCTCTTTAAATTCTTTGTGATTGGTGATTAAGGGGGTGGGGGGGGGGGGTATTCCCTACTCTCAGCTACCGGTATGCGCAAATAGTTTAGACAGAGCAAGATGAAATGGGAATGGGTGTGCCACTTAATTGGTTATGCCCTCATCCTGGTTCAATTATCTAAGTGCAGTCTCACTTACTCAGCATGCAAAATTACAGATACAGGTACTGTAAAATGCTGTACTGTAAAATTCAAACTTTTCAACACTGCTATTTTGAGAGACAGCTAGAGAGAGAGAGCTAGTACAGGCCTTAGGTTCTAGGGAATTCAAAGTCACATTTAAATGCCATTTAAATGTTTTAGCATTTTGCAATACTGCATCAAAATTGAAGACAACGCTATTATGGGTATTGCTGCAATAATGACCTTTAAAGTTAAGCCATGTTTCTTATGATTTTCAGATTTACGAAAAAGATTTATAGCAGGGGGGAATCCAGGATTATATGGAAGGGGTTCCTTATTTTTTTTAGGAATGACGGGCCTCGGATACAAATATGACCCTTGGCCCCCTTTTGGGAATGGGGTTCAATGCCCTTTCGTAAGGCTTAGAACTATGATTCCACTTGTCAATGTATGACGCGGTGCTTTACCAGGAAAACTACTGAGTCAACTCAAGTTTGGTTGCTTTTATTGACAAGTCAAATAAAATAAGATGTATGAAGTTTTGTGGAGGGATCCATAATATCATTGGAGGAGGGGGGGGGGGGGGGGGGGAGTCAAAATTACATCATGGAATTTTGACTGAGGCGTCACCTTTTAGGGGAGTCAGATTTTCATGGTACATCGCCAGATGACACTGGTTGGGCCCTACCCCATGTATACTGCCCTGCCATTGCCAATGCTGGTGGTAAAATTAACTCAAATACTTAAATTTCAGAGACAATGGCCACAAATGTGAACTGCAAGAGCATGCCTAAGATGCAATTGTTTTTGCAAATTTTATTTTAAGACCTCTGCAATCCTAACCCTTGCTTCAAATGTGGAAATAAACATTTTGGCCTGTTATAATTAACTGCTGTCACATAATAGAAAGGGACATATCTTGACCAGGTGCTACCTTATATTATTTTTTGTTTGTTTGTTTGATTTCAGCGAGGTGCGAAGAAAATTCCGTATGTATTGATGGAAGTTCTGGGCGCCATGTTCCATACTTCAATCTGCGGTGCAATGGAATAGCTGGCTTTTACTGTTTTTGCATGAGTGGTTATGAAGGGGACGAATTTAAATGCACCAGTAAGCATTATAAATGCTTCAGATTATTTATAGGGTTTGAAATCTGGGAGTGTAAAATAAATAATTAAAGCACAAGCAATTTTTTCATTTACTTATCTTAAATAAACAGCTTATTTTAGCATCTTATTCAATTCCATGTCATAACTTGACTAAATCTTAATGGCATCATAGTTGTAACTTTGATTACTACTTTATTTGACATGTTGTGCAATGATTAGTGGTTTTCTTTATAGCTGAAAACCTGAATTGTTGTTTTCTTTGCTGTTATCAATACTAAAAATAAAACGCTTAAGGATAATTGTCAAAATTCCATCATGAAATTTGGACTAGGGAGTCATACCTTTTAGGGGAGTCAGATTTTCATGGTACACCGCCAGATGACACGTGTTGGGGGTTACCCATGTGTACTGCCAGTGCCTACGCTGGTGGTACGATTAATTTATATAATAAAATTCCATATACATTGGCTACAAATGTGAACTGAAGGAGCATGCCTACCATGCAATTGTTTTTGCAAATTTTATTTTTAGGCCTCTGCAATCCTTACCCTTGCCTCAATGGAGGGACTTGCACAAAGTCACCTGAACTAGGTTTCCATTGCGCTTGCACCCATCCTTATTTTGGACAATACTGCACTGTAGGTAAGATTATAAAGACTTGGATAACAGAAATGGTTCAAAGTAAAACCTGAATTGTTGTCTTCTTTGCCATTATCTATACTAAATATAAAACGCTTAAGGATAATTGTCAAAATTCCATTATGGAATTTGGACTGGGGAGTCAGGTTTTCATGGTACACCGCCAGATGACACGTGTTGGGCGTTACCCATGTGTACTGCCAGTGCCTACGCTGGTGGTACGATTAATTTATATAATAAATACTTAAATTCCATATACATTGGCTACAAATGTGAACTGAAGGAGCATGCCTTACATGCAATTGTTTTTGCAAATTTTATTTTTAGGCCCCTGCAATCCTAACCCTTGCCTCAATGGAGGGACTTGCACAAAGTCACCTGAAAGAGGTTTCCATTGCGCTTGCACCCATCATTATTCTGGACAACATTGCAATGTAGGTAAGGTTATAAAGACTTAGATAACAGAAATGGTTCAAAGTTAATATGCAGAAATATGAAGTAATAACAATCGTTACATTTTTTCCTAATTTGCTTCAAAATGTGGAAATAAGCACTTTGGCCTGTTATAACTAACTGCTGTCACATCAAAATACATAAGGGTGAATTGGAAGTAACAACAACTTCTCCTTAATATAAAGTCAAATCTTTGCATTTAAACCTGCACATCACTAGACTGGATGGCCTTGTGGTCAAAGTGTCCGTCTTCAGAACAGTAGAACATGGATTTGACCCTCTCCCAAGACATAGTAGTCCTTTATAAATGGTACCTGCTGTCTCCCTGCTTGACACTCGGCACTTAGCTAAGTAGGGGTTGAAGCAGGGGCAATTTTCTGGTGTGAAAGTGAGAGACACTGTTCATGTATTAGCTCTTAGCGACTAATACGACAGCCGGAATTTCTCCTCCCCAGGGAGATGACAGCGTCACCACAAAGCATGTACATTGACCAGATGCCCATTATTGGTTGGAACTTCATTAAAAAAAATATTATTACTTCTATTTTTTTATTACTATTATTATTATTATAATTATAGCAGTAAGGCATCATTCATTACTACATCATTTGGCAGACTTTAACAATAGGAGGGATGGATAAATAGGTCAATTTATGACCAGAAAATTAAAGATGTATAAAGCTATTTTTTGACTATTATATATTATATATTTTAGGTAAATCAAATTTCAGGATCTAGCATAAATGAAACCTTTCTGACTATCAAAACTAAGATCCAATGAAACTATTTTCACATTCATATTTTTTTACTAACCAAGTGATTAACTTGTTTTATTCCTTACCTTGTTGACATTATTTGTTGGGGGAAATAAATTTAATAGATGGAAATTATGATATAATATTATCTATTTGAATAGTTTTGTAATCTCACATAATGTCAGCAGGTAGGTAATTTAGTGTCAAAATCATTCTAGACTTGTAAGTTTGAAAAAAATAAATAAGGTTTATTTTTCTCCTTGAGAAGAACACAGAAGATAGCTTTATGTACAGACATCAGTATGTCAATATCAGTACATGAAAGTCTTTGGCTTCGTTCACATGCAATGTCTATTTTCTATTTGCGCTATCTTATGATCACGGTCTGTGGCCTGAATATCCCGCCGCGTAATTACTGGCAGCGCGAGCCAGTTACTTATAGTAACTTATAGTAACTGGCTCGCGCTGCCAGTAATTACGCCGCGGGATATTCAGGCCACAGACCGTGATCATAAGACATACCGCAAATAGAAAATAGAATTTAGAAAATAGACATTGCATGTGAACGAAGCCTTTATTTCTATTTCAATCACACTTAAGTCATAACAACACAAATGATGATAATAGAAAGGGACTTATCTTGACCAGGTGCTAACTTAAATTATTTTTTGTTTGTTTGTTTGTTTGTTTGTTTTCAGCGAGGTGTGGGAAAAATGCTATATGTATTCATCGAAGCTCTGGGCTCCATGTTCCACAGTTCAATCTGCGGTGTGATAGAAAAGGTGGCTTTTACTGTTTTTGCATCAATGGTTATGCAGGGGACGGAGTTAAATGCACCAGTAAGCATTATAAATGCTTCAGATTATATATAGGGTTTGAGTTGACTAAATCTTAATGGCATCATAATTGTAACTTTAATTATAATTACTACTTTATTTGACATGTTGTGCGATGATTGGTTTTCTTTATAGCTGAAAACCTGAATTGTTGTTTTCTTTGCTGTTATCAATACTAAAAATAAAACGCTTAAGGATAATTGTGCAGCTATTATATTTTTCATACTCTTAAGATATAAAGCAGTTCACCGAATGCACTAAAATGTGATCATGCTCTTTGGAAAATATTTTTCTTTTTTACAGATAGTGGCAAATATATCTCCCAAAATAAAGCAATATAATGAAAAATCTACTAAAGAAGACATCCATTTGAAGCAACCAGAACTACACAATTATCTAAGATTCACAGATGGACGTTAGATTTATTCAGAGAAGTACCGTTAAAATCATATCGATTCCACATTGTGGTTCTGAAATATTTACAATTGGTCAAGATGGCCCAACTGTGCTGACCCCTACTGAAGAGTCTACTGTTGACCCCTACTGAATTGTGTTTAGTGCTGACCCCTATTGATGTGTTTAGGAGTGATGGTGGGATATCCCAAATGGTCGACATACTTACTCTCTCATGGACGTCATCCAGCTTCTCGTAGGAGGTAACAAATGCATGAGCATGTGTTCCCTTCACGGGTATGTCGAAGAGCTTTCCCGCCAGGACGTTGCTTGTGCCATCAAATCCTTAAATGAGAAGATCGATCAACTGAGTGAATATGCATAAGGGGGAATTCTAAATTTTACGTTTGTTTGATAATTTAAGAAAGAACAAAGACACTTCCATAGGTATTACATTTCTATGTGTGAATGTTAAATATGTTTTAGTACACCTATAAAAAGAATACAAACACTAAATTAAGGCATATATAAAATTTATACATTTACTGTTCTAAAAAGTAACCTGTAACCAAAATTATCAAAATCAAAGAACTATGCCCAAAAGCCCAAGCAAATTTTATGGAACCCATATTCCAGGTGCATTTCATTTTGGTATCAGTTCACATATGTCAGATAATATCTTTAAAATAAAAAAACACTGTTTGTGTGCAAATAAATCAGCTTGAAATTCTTGTTTTTCGTCAATTTTTTTAACAAGAATTTAAATCAGTTTTACAGTGTTCACTTTTATTTTGAACAAATTCAACAGAGCAGCACAAAAATTTTATTACACCAACAGAGGGCAGCATATTAGGATAATAAATAAATAAACAAATAAATAAATAAATAAATAAATAAATAAATACAACACAGTTATGAAGTCTCACAATCTTTCTCACTTTAAAATAAAAACATATATAGAAGCCTGAGCTACCAAAATCACAAAACAGGATGAAGGGCATGACAGTGAAGGACTTACAGAATCTACGACCACTGCAACACAAAACCTTAGTTTTTCCACACAATGAAATCACGTGATAAAAATAATCTTGCTGTCAAAAAAAATCAGGCACATAATATTAAGACATATTCATTAAAAATACATGAAGCAGATCCAGACATGTTTTGAAAGAAGTTGGAAGGGATTCAGGCACAGATAATAAACATTACAGTAGTAATTACTGTTCTTTTACGTGTGTACAATTTAGAATAATAATAATAATAATAATAATAAACATAGAAAAAGTTCATTGTTTATAGATTTTTTTCCCACTGAAATAAAGTGAAAAGTAACTGTGGTCCATATTTCAAAAATGGGTATTTTGCAAAATAATAATAATAATAATAAATACAAATGTTAAACATTTTTTAAAACGTAAAACATAAAACATTATCTGGATCCACCTCAACTAAAACACCTGACCAATGGAGCAGAAAGAGAAGAAAAGCAGCTTGCCGCAGCAGCAATGATTTCAGTACGATTTCTACACAGTTTTCATCCAAAATACAGGGAGATCCAAACACTTCAAAATCTAACCTTTCCTTTTTGCAATTAAAAAATTATTTAAGGGAAAACTATGAGTGCTCTTCATATCTGATTCTCTGCTTTTATATTGTTGAATTTGGAAAAAATATTAATGTTTATATAAAAAAGAAAAGGAAAACTGTTTGTTTCACAATATAAATGTAATAAGTTACTAAATAATTAATAGAAAATAGAGAATTTCAAAACTGCAGCAGAGGGCAGCACAGATCACTTATTTTTCCATAATAATTTGGACCTCCCTGTACAAGCATAATCACAACAGAGATGGGGAAAACGACACCAAAATTTTGCTACCCTCTGTAGGTATCCCATAGAGTTTACAAGCCAGTACATTTGTTGTGCCATCAAATCCTACAAAGACAAAATGGTCCATCAACTGATTGCACAGTTTCAAAGATTACGTAGTAGGCATATGCTTGATTGGCAGTGTGTTAGGTGTGACAGTGTGTTTGTTATGGCAGTGTGTTAGATGTGACAGTGTGTTTGTTATGGCAGTGTGTTAGGTGTGACAGTGTGTTTTTTATGGCAGTGTGTTAGATGTGACAGTGTGTTTGTTATGGCAGTGTGTTAGATGTGACAGTGTGTTTGTTATGGCAGTGTGTTATGTGTGCCAGTGTGTTTGTTATGGCAGTGTGTTAGGTGTGACAGTGTGTTTTTTATGGCAGTGTGTTAGATGTGACAGTGTGTTTGTTATGGCAGTGTGTTAGATGTGACAGTGTGTTTGTTATGGCAGTGTGTTAGATGTGACAGTGTGTTTGTTATGGCAGTGTGTTAGGTGTGACAGTGTGTTTGTTATGGCAGTGTGTTAGGTGTGACAGTGTGTTTGTTATGGCAGTGTGTTAGGTGTGACAGTGTGTTTGTTATGGCAGTGTGTTAGATGTGACAGTGTGTTTGTTATGGCAGTGTGTTAGGTGTGCCAGTGTGTTTGTTATGGCAGTGTGTTAGGTGTGACAGTGTGTTTTTTATGGCAGTGTGTTAGATGTGACAGTGTGTTTGTTATGGCAGTGTGTTAGATGTGACAGTGTGTTTGTTATGGCAGTGTGTTAGGTGTGCCAGTGTGTTTGTTATGGCAGTGTGTTAGGTGTGACAGTGTGTTTGTTATGGCAGTGTGTTAGGTGTGCCAGAGCATTCGGAGTGACAGTGTTTAAGGTGTGAATGTGTCTTAGACCCCATTCCCAGAGATTAGATCGATCCAACTAGATCGACCTAACTCCCTGGGGGTTCACGCTAAATAACTGTCAGCTGAGAGGGCACGAAAGTTAATTACCCCCTTACAGCTTGTAGTAGGCGGGACGGACATTTAAGCCGGATTATCTGACAGTAATCTAGTAAGACTCCCCACGGGGATAGATCGATCTAAAATCTATGGGAATGCGCCCTTAGTGACATAACAGTATGTTATGTGTGAGGTGTTGTATGACAGTGTATTAGTTATATAACTGTGTATTAGGTGTGTCTTGTGTTAGGTAACTAAAACAGTGTTAATTGTAATATTGTTTCTTATATAACAGTGCAGTGGTTGCGAGTTAGTACAGTGGGGAATTTCAATACGTCAGTCAGTACACTGTCTCTGGACTATGAGAGGAAAGTCGTGTCTAAATCAGGTCTAAATGAGACAGAGTCTAAACAACCCAAATGACGTCACCAGGTGACCAGATCACACTTGAGACCCACAATAACATATTAATAATAAAAATCCCAATCCCATGTTTTCTAAGCAATCTGGTTGCATGGTCACATCAATTTAGTCAATGTACCAGTCAAATTTGGTCTGGGTGTGAGCATCACATCAAGAATATAATATGTAACATTTCAAGCAATCAAACTCTGCATTGTAATGCCACGGTTGAATCTGATGTTTGCCTAAGTCTTTTTTTTTTTGTCTGTGCAAATGGGGTTAAAACAGTATATAACATTTGAATATTTTTTAATGTATAAATGGGGAAAATGTGTATTACATTTTGTAACTTCTTTTTGTATAAACAGGCAGAGAATTGTATATAAATTTTGCACCTTTTTAGTTGTGTGAAAAAATAATTTAAAAAAAGAATAAATAAATAAAGATGAATACGTACCTCCAATATAGCAGTATCTTGAGGCGGATAATCCTCCATCAGGACCTTGTGCTCTGCGTAAGCCGAACTCCAACAGCTGCTTGTCTTGTCCTGCGGCTAGGCGAAACCTGGCGGCATTTGTGGCAACTAGACTGCAGAAATATAGAAATAGGTAAGATATTTTGGTAAAACTAATGGGTAGTATATGTTCCTTTGTCACACACTAATTAAGTAAATATGTATTCTTTATGATACTCACAGACATCTTCATGTACTGATGTGTGCCAATGCACACTGAAGAGTCTGACTCAGACAGATGTCAAAACATATGTGAGAGTCATAAAAAATTAGTTTGAGACAATAGAACATTTACTACCAATAGACTATGGAATCAAAGCAAAATCAATTAAGTCATGATCATTATAAAGACGCATTAAAAATATTGCTATTACTTAACTGAGAAAACATATCCCAAGATTAATAAAATCTGGAATGATCAAATTGATAGTTATTGGATTTGATCTTTTACAATAAATGTTCAGCTATTTGCTCAATGTGCATATAATTAAATAATATTATGCTTGTTCATCTTAGAAATAGATGTATATAAACACACTTAAATGAATATAGAACAAACAAATAAATTTTACCTATTTTTTCAACATGCATTAACTTGCATGTAAGTACCACTAAAATACTTAGTATTCCAATCAACCTACCTAGCATAATTAACTAAATTGAGCAACGTGGTCTCGAGAAGCTGTACAACAGGAAGAGGACCCTCCAGGCGTATAATGGGAACTCTGGGAAACACCACCGACCCCTCATCCACGGCGTAGACTATGACATCCTTCGCTGTAAGGTTGTGCAGGAATTCAAAGAATTCTTCTTCGGTGGTGGGAGGTAGAATCGTCCTCAGGTACTCGATGTCTTGATGAAAGAGTAAGGAATATTAAAATTACTCAAGGAATTATCAACAGCAAGTATTCATATTTAAGGGATTTCACCTTTTAGACCCCATTCCCATAGATTTTAGATCGATCTATCCCTGTGGGAGTCTCACTAAATTACTGTCAGCTTAGCCAGCTTAAGCATCTGTCCTGCCTACTAAAAGCTGTAAGGGAGTAATTAACTATGGTGTGCGCACGGCTGACTGCAATTTAGCGTGAACCCCCAGGAAGTTAGGTCGATCTAAATCTAAATCTCTGGATGGATCTAAATCTCTGGGAATGCACCCTTACAGTCTGAATTGAGAAAGATTAGTAGCTTTGCAGGGGATGATGTAGACATAGAAAACATGGTATTGGGACATTCTCAAACGATGATAGGATACCGATAAAAATCAATTCAAAATATTATTGAACTATTGCCCTGCTATCACAACATTAACACCCCAGGTTCTGAGATCAATTGATTTTATCACAACGGTCTTACTTCAACAGCACAACAACAACTCTTATTCCAATAACAGATATGCATTAGCTAACACCAAGAAAATCAATTCTCCACACTGTGTCTTTCTAGACGTACGCTTCCTCAACGAGAAATGCCAAATACACATTTATTCTGCAGCAGGGAATCCAAATACTTATGATATATTTCATCATGGAAAAAATCAATACAAATATAGAGCAAATTGTAATGAAGTATCCTTATCTACATACATTTAATGTGACACATCTACCATACATAATTTTCATGCAATAATTAAGCATTTCTTTAATTCAGATGAATAAATGCCATTTGCATTAATAATGTTCAAGTGTTACTTTACTAAAATAATTTATGTTTGTTATCCCCTTCTGCTTTTGACAACACTCCATCTTAAAATATGCACTTAAGCTTGACTAGTAGAAATATCTTATCATGGTGAAAGGTGTACATTTTAAAGGTTAAATCATTAACCTAATGTCACGTATTTTAGCCTGTTAGCAAAGAGTTCTGAGAATTTCAGAAAAGGTGGAATATTATGGAAACATCTCTTGCTCTTGTTCAGTTTTCCATAGTAATGGAGCATAAAAGAAACTTTTAAAAAAAGGAAAAAAATTAAGTTTATTTTTCCAGAGCTGATTTAATCAAGGATGAGACTGTCATTAAAACCTTTCCTTTCTGCATCCTTTGTGCAACCATGAAACTGGCCCTGCCGTGGTCGTAAAAAGGAGGCACAAGCATCGCTTTGGTTGTAAAATGAATGCTCAATGATCAGCCAGTTGTCAGCATGCAAAGTATCATTAGTTTTTTTTTTACTCTCAAACAGGGCTGTACTACAGGATGCATAAAGGACGCCGATCCAGTGTAAAGGGAGGCTTTACTGATATAGTCAGAAAACATGGACTCAGTCCACAGGGCTGCCTAGACCAATAACAGTTTTGGCTCCCAAAAAGTTTGAAATATGCCAATAGTAGGAAAATTCTCATCTCTGAATAATGACACTCTTTTTGCCCTTTTTAATAGGATTTGCTTTGAAATCATTATAAGCAAATGCTATTGCTAGTGGCCTGATGCTAATGGGAAAGAATTTTTACAATTTGGGTGTGTTGAGCATCAGTTTTAATACTAGTATTCTATTTTAATAAATAATATGATTCACCTGATGTTAGCATGGCAGCCAAGAGTCTCTTCATACACTAGAAAATTTATGGTCTTCTTAAGAGCTTAATAATTTAAACACCATGCACTATCAATGCTGGCTGTATCCTTTACCTCAACCTTGCTGGAGGAAGATGAACAGAACACAAAAGCTCAGCATTGGGCAACCCTCATAATCATGTATGTTTAATCTTTCAATCTCTCCAACCTAGTCTTAGACAAGTGCAGTAAATGTTGAGCACATTATAAACACTGTGACGTTTAATTTAGTTTAAGCAAAAGTTCCAAATTTTGATTTTGATTTACTTATTTTTTTAAAAATTATTTATTTATTTATTTATTTATTTATTTATTTATTGTTAAATTTTAAAATGTTTTTTGATTTTGTTTAAAATTTTGGTTTGGCCAAATTTATCGAGATATGTTGCTAAAAGATATTAATCTGAAATCCAATAATAGGCAAATGCATTTGATGACCACAGAGATTGCTGAAAAAAAAAAGGAGAGAAAGCACTTGCAATAATGATGGTACTGCATCTTTTGTCAATTTTTATCAATTTTGTTCAAAATTATGGTTTGGCCACATTTATCCAACAGTTCTCCCAGTAAGCCAAAAAATATGTACAAATATATAGAGGAACACAGAGAATGCTGGAATGCATATACACAGTCTAATTTGTCTAAATATGACGTTGTTATGTTATTTAGTGTTAAGTTATTCATTTATCTAGCTACCTTTTGTCATTTTTTTTACTGATTTTATTCAAAATTTTGGATTGGAAAATATGCTACATTAAACTCTACAGCCAAATGCAGGTACCTGTATAATACCAGATGTCATTAAAATAAAATTAAAATAATAATAAAAAATAATTCTTATCCATTATACATAACGGTACTGTAAAGCAACAATTCTACTGTAAGCCCATACAATCAAATGCTGGCAGCATGATTTCAGAAAGTGCTAAAAAATGAAACACCTATAACATTCTGTATTTACATGGGAGAAAGTTGTAAAAACTGAAAATCCTGGAAAACATAGCTTGCAATTTCTCAAACCATTTAGACAGTGTGAAAATAATTCTGAAAACTTTCAACCATGTGTTTAAAGGTTCAATAAAAACAAAAACAAAAAATTAAAAAAATAATAATAATACAATAAAATAAAACAAATATTTTAAACCTGCAAACTGCTTTACTCCTTTCGACTTCTTAACATATATCCTCACTTTTTTAATAACTCACATATTCTTCTTACCATCTGTTGTATAATGGAAATGTTCCAGAAACTTGATACATTCCTCTAACCCAGCAAATATCGTGAATTCTCCTCGGAAAGGATTTCTTCTGAAGAAAAGGTCGAACACCGCCGTGTCTTCATATTTCTGGCTTTTCCAGTAGGCGTATGCCATTGTGATTTGGTATAAATCTGCAAGGATAAGAACACGAAAATAATCTTTAAAGGTGTTCGTAAAGCAGCCTTACAAGTGTATAAAATATCACATGATTGTGTACTTACTTCATTGTATTAAGTAAGGTAACAATGCATTATTGAAGTGGTATTAATAAGTCATGTCATGTTATTCATTATTATCCTTATTGCTGGGGAAGCGCTAGCACTCGCCAATTTAGCCAAATGCTAAAACTGACTTAAATTGACTAAACAAAAAGGACTTGATTTGACAAATTTTAGTCAAATTAAAACCATTTTCATAACAAATTGACAAAAAAGTGATGATTTGGCTAAGCGAAAAAAATTGCTAGCGCTACCCCAGTATTGTATACATCTAAACTAATCTTCATAGATAAGTGAGCCAGAAAATGGTAAACCATGTACATATTTAGTGCTCAATAAACATTATTATTATTATTATTACAATTGTTACAAGTTCATAAAACATGCGCAAAAAAGTCCTTCTTTACTTTCCTCTCAGTTGTGTGTGGAAAGATCTTCCACTATTAATGATTCATAGAATCAAAAGTGATGATCACAGATTTGAGAATTTAGTGAAAAAGTCGCAAAATATGGCTTGGGGTCCAGGGGGGGGGGGCCTAGGCTACTGGTAATTTTGGCTCCCAAAACGTCTGAAATCTGCAGATAATCGGAAAAATCTCATCCCTGCAAACATAAGGCCCAGGCTTAACAGAAGCTACATTGGATAATGGATCATTTGCAAAAAGTCAAAAGAGGAAGATTTTAATATCTGTGTAGATCTGTTTGACTGCATGTGCCGCAGATAATAACTGCTAGGTCATGCCTGGCAAGCTTGTGACGTCAGATGCACATGCACTTGGAAGATGATTCTTGACTATCTGTATGCAGCTCTCTTACTTTTACTGAACTGGGCTGTACATAAAGGAAAGGCATTTAAAAAAGGAATTTTAAGAGTGCAAACCTCTGCTGAGGTTGCTCAGTTCTCCTTTATTATCACAGGGGCTGATCCAGAGATTTTTTCTGACAGTCTTCCAAATTATCTTTGTTGATCCAGCCTCCATTTTTGACCGTCTTCCGACAAAAAAATTAGATACCCATCAATGAAAAATTGAAAATCTGACCGTCTTCCCGAAGACCCAGAAGACGGCCTGAATCCGCCCCTGTATCAATTAATTAATGGGTCACCACCAAAATATAATTGATTCCATGTTGGACCATTTCTGGGTGATCCTGCAGAATCTTATCAAAATCTGTTCCTTTACTGTTAAATAAGGCTTTTACCCAATGGAGCATTCAGATAAACCCATCATACTAGCTGAATCAATCCAACTTTATGGGAGATTCTCCCCAAGTTCAATCACTAATCGGCTGAAATGTTTGAACTAATTAACTAACTAGGGAGGTATGTTAGACATTGAAGCTGAATGCACTTAAACAAAAATCCTTTGCAGAGTTGGATAGATTCAGCAGGTATGATGTTAGAATCTGAACGCAGTCTACCGAACCAAAAGAGAACTCTGGTATTTGATGGTGTTGTAAGAGATTCATGAGAGAAAGTGGGCTGACAAACACAAAGAAATGTATGGCTAAACTGTGTAATGTGGGAAAATTGGCAACTTTGTAGTCTTACCTCAACAGTCTCTACCCCCCCCCCCCCCACCTTACACACACACACACACACACACACACCATGTGCATGTGTTACTACTACACAATTTGGTTTAAATCTTTTTTCCCCCACAGTGAGTCAGTCTTTTTTTCACAGAATCACTGCTTCTTTTTATCAAAAATAGCGTGCCTCAGTACTTGAGAAATGGCCTCTGTGTAAAGATCACATGCAATGGATACGAAACAGAAAGTGAAAATAAACTGAATGGGAAATTCACAGAAATGTGACATGGCTGAGGCTCGCTACAAATTTACACTTTGCAACCCCTGGAATGAATTGAAAGAGAGCCATGGCTTAAAATTACCGGTGAGTAAAGGCTGTATGACCCCATTTTGACCGTGCTTGGATAGTTTGGTTGACAACGGCACTCCTTTTTCGGGGGCCTCCATCTTTGCTTCTTTTCGTTTCTATGGTTAACCTGCAGCGGCTGCCAGGATGCCCTTGTGCTTGTCGTTCCTTTCGGATTTGCGGAAATACCCGAAGTAGGAAAACTAGGTCATCACTTATTTCCGGAATCGAAATTATTTTTTCACAAACATATTTTATATATGATTAGTAAATTATTTACAGAGGAAAATTATTATTATCCCTGAAACATGATGTAAAAGATTGAATTTTAAGGTTTTTGAAAAAAAAAAGATTACCTGTTTGTAGTGACCTTGAGGGCAAGTGACCTTCTGTATAAGATGTAAACATGGCGGACGACGACGACACCGACGGCAGACCAGCTGTCGAAGAGATTCAGCCGATGGCAGAGGACAAACCAAACTATTCCACACAAAATTACAGGTACATTCTTAAAGATGACTCCTTAGCGATTGTTTTGTTGCCAGACAATCACTGATTTCCTTTCAGATTTCAGTCGAATTCGAACCGAAATCCGGTGTCGCGGTGACCGAAACTTGCGGGCAATTTTGACCGAGTTTTGACAAGTAGCATTAGCAACCGCATAGTCAGGTAGTCCTTGTTTTAGCCGCAAATTTGCATCGGGACAGTTGAATTCATTTATACAATATGTTCATTTAGATAATATGATATCAGTATAGGAAATGTTGAAAAGGGGTTAAATTAAAATTTTCACTTGTAGATATTTTTGAACGATTTTTTTTTACATTTTGAGACGTGCGTGTCTACAGTACGTGTTACTAATAGTGGCTCGTCTCTGGCAAAGTAAACATTTGTATGTTTGTTTTTAATTAACATCTAATGAATTGTCAGCTTAGCTTCTGTTTTACTTTCGTGCAGAAAGACTCCTGTGATTGAGATCAATTTATATGTGATCAATACAAGACTGTTTGCTGGGTCAAGCTGACCTTACTGTTTGCATGTTTGATTGTTTTTTTAACTATTTTGAAACTGTTGCCACCATTTTTCTTTATTTTATAAAACTCTTATTAAAATCATAATTTGACTTAATGGTTAGACACCTTCAAGCATTACCAAGATCAATACATTGACCAATCATGTAGGATTTATTGCTTGGGTCAGGCTTTTTCTCTTTATTTATTTGTTTGTTTTTACCTTTTGGCAACATGTACCATTGAGTATCCTTGTTTTTACAAATTGCTTATTAAAGTGATGGGAGGGGGGGGGGTTAGATGACATGATATCCACACAGCCCATTCGACCAGTCAACTCACCTTGATATAAAGTCATAAATCATGTCAAGTAGGAATAATACAGATCTGTTTAAAAACTACCACATTATAGTACCATAAAACCACTCAAATGGAACCGTTGAATAAACCCGTCTGTCTGAAATAATTGCTTGTTTGTGGTTGGGCAGTTAAGGAGACCTGTTGATGTCAACCTAAAATAGGTAAACTAAGGCTCTATTCCCATAGATTTTAGATCGATCTATCCCCGCGGGGAGTCTCACTAGATTACTTTCAGATAATCCGACTTAAATGTCCGTCCCACCTACTACAAACTGTAAGGGGGTAATTAACTTTGGTGTCCGCCCGGCTGACAGCTATTTAGCGTGAACCCCCAGGGAGTTAGGTCGATCTAAAGTAGGTCGATCTAATGTATGGAAATGGGATGTAACAATACCAAATTTATAACTCACAGGTGGTCCCCTAAAGAGCCCCCACTACACTTTGTATTTTTAATCTTTTGGTTGTCCAACAGGTACCTTGGTGACATTAAAGGGATAATAACTCTTCGCTTCGGCCAAAAAAAAAAAAAAAAGAGTTTTCCTGGAGTAAACAACAATTTTTCCATACTTACCAATGGTTAATGAATCCATTTTTACATTCAGAGTAAGTCCCTGGTTTTTTTCTAAAAAGTTTGGTTTTTTGTTAAAATCTCTTAAGAGATTTTAACAGTGTAGCCATCAATGGAGGTCACGTGGTCTAAAGACAAGCTCAGATATCAGAATAATAGCTATAACTGCCTTTTGGTAAAACAAAATATTATATTTCTATGAGTTTTTCACAATGTTTTTATTGTGAAATATAGATCTCATATGAAGAGTTATTATCCCTTTAATTTAAGGTACATTTTTGTTCAGTTGTTTAATAAGAATACTAAATTCCTCCATTCCAAGAAAATGTCAGTGTACCTAACATTATTATTAAAATCACTGCCATAAAATAAATAAAATGAAACTAACAAAAATCAAGCTTAACTATCTCTTTTGATTACCATTTCAATCAACAGAAAACTTACCTCATGAAAAACAACATACAATTTCAAGGTATTACAAATAGCCATGTAATGGGCCCTACGCATATATACTTATCTGTGTTTGTGTGTGTGCACACAGTAATTGAATCAAATTGCTGCTTTGAGTTAACAGTAACTGTGATAACAGGAAATGAAAGATCATACAAGCAGTTGACAAAACTTACACAAACTCGAATTAATTCCATTTACTAGGTCCAGATCAGAGTTTAAGCTAGTTTATTTTAGCCAAATGCTTCAAACATTTCAGCTTAGGAAAATGTATAATATTCCATTGTTTTGCAAAATATATGATTGATTTAGTTATTTTGTCAGATATGGTTAGAAGTATGTAGCAATTTAGCCTAGGAAATTTAAACCAAGATTTAGCCCAGATTTTTATATACATATATAGGATTCATTTGACCTCGGTGACTTTCCGTTTTTCTAATAAAGACGAAGGTTAACATGTTAGAGGTAAATTAATGGCTTTTAAGAATATTATGTGCTATTTTTAGCACTGCTGAATAGCAGAGACAGCAGTCCTTAACTGACAGGTTAGTCAAATGCAGATTTATAAATCTTAAATGTGAATGGATTGTGGGTTGAACAGGATTTGTGTAATAAAGTCACTGAAAATTATTTCCATATAATTTGTCAGAAATGAATGTTTTTGATAATTGTTGTCATTGGGCTGATTAAAAGACAGTTAATCCTAAAAATTGGTAAAAACTTTAAAACCAAAAATTTGGCCTCTAGAGACTTAATTTCAAGATAAATCCATTTATTGTCCACAAGTATTCAGAAAGACAAGTCTTATTTTCTTTTTATAAAACAAGCACACTATTTCTCATGCTTGAACTACTGTTGATGTATATCTGTGGTCAAAATTGGCTAAAATTGAGGGCTAAAAAGATAGCTGGAAAAGGTCCATTCTAAAACAAAATTATCATCTGGGGTCTGTATCATTTCTCATATGCTGAGTAGGGTCCATTGTAAATGTAAAAAGTTCCCTTTATTCACCTCCCCCCAACACGCGTACACACACACACACACACACACACACACACACACACAC